AAAGCCCTATCCCCTTCTGATCCAGGTGACCTCCTCAAATGTTGCCCCACCCCCTTCCCTGAACGCCTATCCTCATCATCCCCAACAGGCAGGTAGACTTGGTGATTTCTTTGCCACTCCCCTCTCCCCTGTCTTGTTCATAATGGAATATCACAGTGACAACCACAGGTTCAGAAATTACCTGTTCTCTTTCTGCCTTATGAGGAGATGCAGTTCCAAAGGCTGGATTGTATTTGATTCACAAGCATATTCCCAGCATCAGTACTGGCACACAGTGAGGGCTCAATGACTGCTTGGAAAAAGAGCAATGGACACTTACCATCCTTCTGCACTGACCTAAAGACCTATCATACCAAGTCAGATTCACTTTGCCCTCAAAGGAGTCAAATTTGTGATCATCACCCCAAAGGCAGGGGACCAGGTTAAGTGGGTCAGTACTCAGTGTGGGGCTGGAGACTTCTCCCTGGAATCGGGTTTGGTGTCATAGATGGAGATCCCACAGCCTCTTGCTGCCTCCTCTGAGGTTGCAGATCTGCTGGTGGTTGATGTTGGGTCCATTAGAATCCATGCTCTCTTTGTACAAATTGGGGGGAGGGAGGTTGCTGCCCAGCCCGGGGATAAATTCTCAGCCCCCTTTGTTTCTGTGGCCATGTGACTAGTTCTCTCCAGTAAAAATACGGGCAGAAGGGAGGTTTGTAGAAAGTCACATCTGGGCCAGGTTTTTTAAGAAGCTGAAGAATGTTCTCCACCCTGTCTCCTCCCATTTGCCAAGTGGAAACAGAAAATTCCAAGCCCCAGGAGGCGCAATATTAACAAATCCGGTGTGTGAATCACCAGATGGAGGACTGCTGCCAACCAAGCAGGACATCTGTGGCAAGAAATAAACTATCGTATGAAGTCCCCAAAATCCAAGGGGTTATTTGTTATAGTAGCCACCATTACACTCAGTAATACACTCACCCTTCCTCTCTGGGCCCCTGATATCACTAGAGCTTGAGCAGCCTGTCCTGTAAAATGAGCTTCTAATCCCCAATTGTGATTTTTAGCTTTCACATAGCAGGTCTGTACAGTGGCCCCAAATCTCTACGTTTACTAGTTAAAAGTTATCAGTATATTTCCCTCCATTTTTTGTGGAGATACAAACTTTCCCGCATGTTCTTATGGAAGTCTTCTTCCATTTTGATAGCTGGAAGTCATTAAAGCAGACCCTGAAGGTTGTCTTACATCTTCCACCATTGTTAAACAGAACCGCATGCACAGGGGCTGTGGTTGCCCTATAGAAGTCAGTGCTTGCCTAGAACCCATTAGTCTGATTAATGAGGTTTGTGTCTGTGTATGGAGTGGGATTGGGAAGACATACTCACCTTTCTGCCCCTTTCTTTTGACCCCTCCATATGAGGGTGCACCTTCAGACCTGATCTTTAAAGTAAGTCCCTAGTGCTTAGTACTGATTCATGTGCTAATTACAAAGCTGAGATAATTTCAATGACTCACACTGGCTGGACTTGGGTTGATGGGTACTTAGCTGAGGATAAGGGGACATCGCCTCAATCTCTCCTTGCTGTAACAACCCCTTGACTTGGAAAAGGGGCCTAAGTTTATTTATAAAGTGACCCTTTTCTGGAAGACTGACTTCATTGATTTGAGTGTACATGCACAAATGTGTGCATGTATATATATGTGTGTACCCATTCCTTATAGGTGTTTGAGGTGACTCTCTGTTTCTTATGTATATGTGTGGGAGTGTGGCTCACACGTGTGCAAGAGAGAATCTGTGTGCAGTTTTTCCATATATGTGACCTCACACATGTCTGAGTGCAAGTCAATGGGTGTGCTTTGGAGGTGTGTGTCTTGTGTGCACTTGTATCTATCCCCTGTGTTTGAACATGAGGCCAGGTGTATATTGTTCCATGTGCTTGCTATGTCCACATGTGTTCTCGTGAGCCTCTGAGTATGTGCGTGTGTGAGTATGGATGTGTTCCCTGTGAGTATCTGTTTATATTCAGGCAGATTGTGTGTGTGGATCTAAGTACTCCCCTTCTCCCCAAGGTCCCCTCAGCTCTTGGGCAGTTTAACCTCATTCTTCCTGCTGTGCCTGTTTCTGCTGCTTCTGGCCCCTTCTACAAATGTTGCAATTAAGTAAATGCAGCAATTAAGCAGAGTCCCCCCAAAAACCATCCCACCAAGATCTCTTTCCAGGAACTACTGAAGGGTTACAGCACAGGCACACAGCACACATGACACTATTTTCAGGCATGGCAGAGGCCCTCAGACTGCATCCGCTATGGCATGAGAGTGTACAAACAGCATATGGGGTCCCTTGGCCCATATGCTTTGTTTGTACTTCTTCAGACTCAGCATATAGGTCTCCTCCTCCAGGAAGCCTCCCTGACTCCCTGGGTAGGGGTTGGGGAGGTTTGAACTCTGACTCTGGAATCCTACTCTCTCCTACTTCTCCCTATCAGAGCCCTGATCACTCTGACCTGTGCTTTGTCATCAAAACCCTTATTATTTTGCCCTGTGCTTCCCATATCACACCCTTACCCCTAAAGTCTGGGTTTCTGTCATGACAGTCTCAGTTCTCTGCAGCTTCCCCCATCCCAGCCCTGAACACTCTGGGCTGTCTGTAGATGTGTCTTTCTCTCTTTTTGAATGTGAGCTCAGTGAAGGCAGGACCTGACACTGCCTTGGTCACACTTTGCTGCATATCATCTAGCATGCAACCATGCCCAGAAACATACGGTAAATGTTGAACTAGCATCTTTGCCTCTGTCTCTCTCTGTTCCCTAATCCCTCTTTGTCTCCAAATATGCTGGTTTCTTTGGCACATTTACTACATCTCCTCAATCTATCAGGTTTGGGCAGAACTGTGGGGGATGTTGCACATGGCCCTGTGTTAGCCCTGTGCTTTTCAAGTTGTGGTCCCTGGACCAGCAGCTTTAGCATCACTTGGGAACTTGCTAGAATGCAAATGTTTGGGCCCCACCTCAGATGTACCAAATCAGAAACTCGGGGACTGGGGCCTGGAGATCTGTGGTTAACAGGTTCTCCAGGTGGTCCCAATGCAACTGAAGCGTGGGGACCAGTAACTGGCTCATGCAAGCCATCCCTCTCTGTTGGCCTCAGATGGCTCTCAGTACCACCCTCTTCCTCTAAATTCTCCCTCCAGTCATCACCCCAAGGGGTAAGAATTGGTGGTTAAATGCACCAGCCTCTCAGAACTTTGCAGGGAGGAAAGAAGAGGATGAACGACAATTCTGATGTGTTGTACAAGGTTCCTTAATGTTCCCCAGTAGAACTGAGCCCCATTGTCTTGAGAGATACCTGCTCATCTGTACCCTTTCATAACTTCCTCCTCTGCCTCACTCTTCCCCTTCCCTTGCCTGTTTCTTGGGGTCACCTCCCAAATCAGCCAGTTCCACTGAATTCTAATCCCAATCTGCTCTTGGGATTGTCTCCAGGGATTTCCCTCCATCTCCCCACCTCCACCACTTTTGTAGCATCTCTAAGACTTCTGCATCCTTTTTCTGAGCGTCTGAGTAACCAGTATCCACTGTGCTGGGCCAGGAGCAATGATGAACTTTGCTAATGATCTAAAGCTGAGTTAATTTTAGCTGCAGTTTTCAATACACGTAAGTGGAAGGAGCCAAAAGTCTGTTCTGAAATGTTCAGCAGAGCAGAGCTAGGGATGTCAGAGTGAGTGTGCATCCATGCCCCTGTCCCCAACAGGGACCTTTTCTCCTCCACTCATACAGGGCTTCACGGGGGGTGGATAGTGGGTTGGTTTATGACCATTCAGGTTCCCCAGGTCAGGGCCATGATCACAGGCCAAGGCTGTGTCCCTTTCAGACCAGAGCTCCCAGAAGACCAGGCCCCTCATGTTGCTATAATCAAGTTCCCAAGGGCAGGCTTGTAGACCACTGCCCAGATCCCTCTTCCTACAACATCATCTGCAAGAAGACGTATGGGACTCCCACCCTCCCCTCCACTCTCCTCCCACAAGCACCAGGATAGGCAGATCCCACAGCTGGTGAGTCATGTGTTCAATTCTAGTAGGGTTCTCTGTGGAGCAGTGCACCTGATTTGGGGAGAGGGGAAAGGAGTGGACATACTTCTCTGGGTTAACCTGGCCAATCCCCTGCCTTTGTCCCATTTCCTATCTTCTCTTTCCTCCATAGGATATCAGGCCAGTGTGGCTTGGGGTCTAGCTCAAATTCCAGAGGGCACAGGGTCTTGAAGCCAAGCTTTCTCCTTGGAGCCAGGGCAAGGAGTCTTTTGAAGGAGCAGGCTCTCCACTGGCCTGCAAGATCAGGCCTGCTGCTGGGCGGAAACTTCACCTGTGGAAAGACATCCAGGGATGTGGTGCTGAGACAGAAGGGCAGAAGGAGACAGTCTTGGGGTGGCAGGTGGCTATGGGATGGAGGGCCACCTTTAAGGTTATGAGAGAACTGGACATACACAGATATCCACATACCCATGCTCACAGCTGAGTTGCCCCAGGTCCGTCTGCCTCTGCATGTCTTTGCCTCTTTGTCCCCGTATTTGTGTATCTCTGACCTGCCCTTGTCTATTTTTCTCTAGGTCTCTCACTGTCTGTGCATTTCTAGCTTTCCTAGAATGTGTGTGTATCTTCCTCTCTGTCTCAGCCTGTCTCACTCATTCTACTCCTCTCTCTCTCAATATAAGCGGGCCCATCGTTTTCTCTCTGTTTCTTATCTATGGGTGTCTCTCTCCCTCAGTCTCTGTGTTTCTCTCTTTCTATCCAAGGATTCTCGCTCCCAAGCAACGCCAAGGCGACTCTGTGGGAGGTGGGGCTGGGGACGAGCCTTTGAGAGAGCGGGGCTGCCTACACCTTTAAGCGCGCGCGCGCGCGGGGCCTGCGCCTTTAAGCGCGGGAGCGCGCGCGGCCCTGGGTTCCCGGCGAGGAGGCCGCGGAAGCGCCCGGCCCCCGCCCGCCTGCCCGGCCCCCGCCCCAGCCCCAGCCCCGGCCCCGGCGGGGGAGGGGTCCCTGAGCGCGGCCCCTCCCCCCCTGTGCCCCTTCCTGCGCTGCAGTGCCCCCACCCCTCGTGTCCCGGTCCGTCGGTCCGCGCTCAGGCCTCGCCCCACCCCAGCCCCTAGGGCTGCCTGGCGGTCCCCCCACCCATCGCGGCCGCCCCCTCCCTCTGGGCCGGTCCCCGCAGCAGCCCGGGAAGCAAGCAGGGACGTCGCCGCCCCAGACCCAGACCCCGACATCGGGGGCCTGCACCCCAAGATTGGATCCAGAGATCTGGAATCCCGAGCCTGGGACCCTGATCTGGAGCTGGGACCCCAAGACGTGGAGCTTAAAACACCAATATCGGTGGCTGGGATCTCATCACCAGTCTCTGGGACCCCAAGATTTGGAGCCTGAACCCCAAAACCTGGATATGAACCCAAGGTTTGGAGCCTGCACCTCAAGATTTAGCATCTAAACACCCAAATCTGGAGCTGAATTCTGAATTCTGTGCCTGGGACCTTGAAATCAGGACTGGATTCCTATATATATACCTGGAACCCACTATTTGGGACCTGAACCCTGAGAATTAGGCCTTAAATTACAAGACCTGAAGCCTGGTATTCCAAGGGGCCTAAACCTGAGTTTTGGCCTGAAGTCCTTGCTGCAATTCTGAATGCTGAGATTTGGGGCTAGAGACCTCCAAATCTTGGCTCAGCACCCACTCTCTGAACCAAGCATCCCCCGTATCCGATCCCAGGACTGGGCCTGGGACCCAGACCCTAAACTCTCCATTGGCTCTTTAGCATCCCAGAACTGGAGGTGGGTGACCCTTATTCTGGGCAACCCAAACTTGGGCCTGGACTCAAAAATTGGACCCTAGAGGCCCAATATTTGGAGATCTAGGACACCAAGTATCAAGGTCTAAAGACTCTGTGGCCACAGATCTGAGCTGAGACACAGCAGACGGTCCCTCTACAGCGGACTTGGGGACAGGGAAGGCAAGACCAGGTGCCCCTTCCAGAGCTCTGACCCCTGAGTCCCTTGGAGCCTAAGGACTCACTCCCTGGGGCAGCCTCCAGCTCAGGTAAGACCATGGGAGACCCTCCCCGCCACCTTGGGAGGAACTTGGGTGGAACTTTGTGGCTGGGGCTGGAGGTGATGACCAGGCCCACCTTGGAGTTTCCCCAGGAAACAGACTCCCCCTCCCAAGGGTCTGCCTCCAACTTCTGCTCTGCCTCAGACACTCTCTTGGACATTTAGCCAGGCTGGCCACTCTCTGACCTCCTCTCCCCCAGCTGCTGGCATCTCGAGGTCTCTAAGCCCCCTCTTCTCCAGCTTCTCCCCACCATCTGCCTTGTCTGAATATCTCCAGCCATTTCCCTGCCCGCCACTCCTCTCTGGTCTCCTTACTCCACATCTGTCACTGACCTCTCTCCTCTCTATACACCTCTCTCTGATCATTGTAGACCCTTCTGGCCACCATGCCTCTCCCTGGCCTCCTCTGGCCTCCGCTCCTCACTGTGACCACTCAGCCTCTTCTGTCTCTGGCCATCTTAACACCCCTGTACACCACCCCTCTGTCTAGCTGCGTCTGTCTACTGCTCCGCTCCGTGACCACCTTTGACATCCCTCTCTGATCATCTTTCACTGCTCATCAGCCCTTGCTCACCCCTGACTCTTGGCCTGTGACTCTCTGACCACCTTTGACATTTCTGTCTCCCACTCTTCCCTCCAGCTACCTCTGTCCACCTTTCCCCTTCTGACCATCTTACACGGTCTGTCCTCCCCCTAACTTCTAGTCTATGACCATGTGACCACCTTTGGCCTTTACTGACCACCTCTCTTCTCTGTTGATCACTGGGGCACTCTGATCATTTCTGACAGCTCTGGCAGCCTTTCCCCTCTCTAATCTCCCCACACCCATTATCCTAACCAGCTGTCCTCATCTCCACTCCTCTCTGACATGTCCTCTCCTTCCCTCTCTGACCACTTCTCTGGCTTTTGACCATTTCTGACTGTCTCTTCTGGATTTGGACACCCCTGACCACTTCATCTTCTTGACCGTCTAACCAGCTTCCTTCTCTGTTCATGTCTGACTACGTCTAATCATTCCCACCCCCCTAACTACCTCTTCTTTCTTTGGCCATCTTTGACTATCTCTCTTTGACTACGTCTAAAGTCCTCTGGCTCATCCTTCTCCCCACCCTGACCAACTCTCCCATGCTCTGGCCATCTCTAACCATTTCTAACTACTTCCCTTCCCTCTGACCAGCTTTGTTCATTTTTGCTCCCTCTCTCCCCCCATGACACATCTTGCTGAGTCTTTGACCATCTCCTCTGGCTTTTGATCTGTCTGACCACTCCGCTCTCTGACCGTGTCTGACCAACTCTTCTGCTCTCAGCCCAATGTGACCTTCTCTCCTGGTCTCAGACCACACCAAGCCCCTCTCTTCTGGCCTCAGCATGCCTAATGCCTCCCTTCTCGCCTGCAGGCCACCCCTGCCCGCGATGGCCGTCTTCCCACTACTACTCTGCCTGCTGCCACTGGCCCCTGCCTCATCTCCACCCCAGCCAGCCACACCCAGCCTGTGTCCCCGCCGCTGCCGCTGCCAGACACAGTCTCTGCCCCTAAGCGTGCTGTGCCCAGGGGCAGGCCTTCTGTTTGTGCCACCATCACTGGACCGCCGAGCAGCTGAACTGCGCCTGGCGGACAATTTCATTGCGGCTGTGCGACGCCGTGACCTGGCTAACATGACGGGCCTGCTGCATCTGAGCTTGTCACGTAACACCATCCGCCATGTGGCGGCTGGTGCCTTTGCTGACTTACGTGCCCTTCGTGCCCTCCACCTAGATGGCAACCGGCTGACCTCGCTGGGCGAAGGTCAGCTGCGTGGCCTGGTCAACTTGCGCCACCTCATCCTGAGCAACAACCAGCTGGCAGCCCTGGCAGCTGGTGCCCTGGACGACTGCACCGAGACACTCGAGGACCTTGACCTCTCTTACAACAACCTGGAACAGCTGCCCTGGGAGGCTTTGGGCCGCCTGGGCAATGTCAATACATTGGGCCTTGACCACAACCTGCTGGCTTCTGTGCCTGCCGGCGCCTTTTCCCGCCTGCACAAGTTGGCACGGCTGGACATGACTTCTAACCGCTTGACCACCATCCCACCCGACCCACTCTTCTCCCGCCTACCACTGCTAGCCAGGCCCCGTGGCTCCCCGGCCTCCGCCCTGGTGCTGGCCTTCGGTGGGAACCCCCTGCACTGCAACTGCGAGCTGGTGTGGCTGCGGCGCCTGGCGCGGGAAGATGACCTCGAGGCCTGCGCCTCCCCACCAGCTCTGGGTGGCCGCTATTTCTGGGCTGTGGGTGAGGAAGAGTTTGTGTGCGAGCCCCCTGTGGTGACTCACCGATCACCACCTCTGGCAGTGCCTGCAGGTCGGCCAGCTGCCCTGCGCTGCCGAGCAGTGGGGGACCCTGAGCCCCATGTGCGTTGGGTGTCACCCCAGGGCCGCCTGGTGGGCAACTCGAGCCGTGCTCGCGCCTTCCCTAACGGGACGCTGGAGCTGCTGGTCACTGAGCCAGGGGATGGTGGCATCTTTACCTGCATTGCGGCCAATGCAGCTGGCGAGGCCACGGCTGCTGTTGAGTTGACTGTGGGTCCCCCACCGCCCCCTCAGCTGGCCAACAGCACCAGCTGTGACCCCCCGCGGGACGGGGATCCTGATGCCCTCACCCCGCCCTCTGCCGCCTCTGCCTCCGCCTCCGCCAAGGCAGCTGATGCTGGACCCCCTGCCGACCGTGGGGTCCAGGTGACAGAGCATGGGGCCACAGCTGCTCTTGTCCAGTGGCCAGATCAGCGGCCTATCCCAGGCATCCGCATGTACCAGATCCAGTACAACAGCTCAGCCGATGATATCCTCGTCTACAGGTGCAGGTCCAGGCAGCGGGCAGCTGGGGTGGGGGAGTGAGGGAGAGGGAGGGTTGGAAGTACACGTACAGATACCTGATGCTGCAGCACAGCCGGGAAATGAAACTGCAAGGTCACGAAGGAAATGAGACAGCCAAAGTAAAATAAAGTAGGCAGGAAGGGTGAAAGAAACCTGGCAGCAGTGGTAAAAAGAAGTAAGGCAGCAGAGGTAAATAATAACAGCATGAAAAGGAAACTGGTCAACAAGCGTTCAAAGTAATCAGGCCAGAAGAATAAAAAGTTAACAGGGAAGGGCGAGGTTGTGGGGGAGACAAATTTATGTAATGTAGGAAGTCAGCTGTTTCCAGGTGACAGGGCTGGATACGGGCTAGGCTGCAGGAAGAGATGGAGATCAAGCAGGAAGGTGGAGCGGGGATCATGGGAAAATGAGGTGAGGCAGCCCTGGTGCAAAGGAACTCAGACCAGAGGAAGATGGGGAGGAGGCTCAACAGAGATCAGGCCGTGGGTTTGTGCTGTGTGAACTCCACATGTCTGAAGTTCTAATATGGTGACATCTCAATTTTTTTTATTTTCTAAGTCAAATTAAACCTAATTCAGGCTCCACCTGCTAGGAGAACAGGAATGTTCACTTTACAACTTTTTCTATTGCTGCAAACACAAAACCCAGGGCTCACACACTCCAAGAGGTGGGTCAATACATCTTCTGCCCTCAGCTGGAGAACACTTGGGACATCTGCTGGGGTCACCTGTGGTCAGTCGTGGTGGCTGTGACGCAGGTGCTGCTGACACCTCTCACCCATGTCCAACTTTGCTTGAATGGCTGTGGCTGGCTCCCTATTCTCACTGCCAGCGTGGGCTAAGGGTACAGTCCCTGAGGCCTAGCTGCAGAGGACTGGGCCTCCGAAGGCCTGTAGTCTGTACTTGTAAACCTGGGTCCCCTTTCCTTCCCCTGGGCCCACACCTCCAGTGATTGTCACTTCGTTTCCTTTTCAGTCCTGGAAATTGAACGACCTTATTCTGCTCCCTTTTTCAGATAGCAGTACTCAGATTCCATCAAGGGTCCACACCTGAAAAAGCCCTGTCCACCTTGCCTGTCAGGGGATAGGATGAATGCTTTCCTAGATAGTTACCCTCCCAGAAACAAGCATGGGGTTCCTTATACCTCCCTCATTAAAGCAGTTTAGGAATAAAACACTATAAAACAAGTTAAATCTCCAACAGGGTTCTGTGCTACCAAAGCGAAGAAGAGTGAAATTAGGTGCTAAGGATAAAAGGAAATGAGAAAGGTAGGGATAACTAGAAACCAGGCAACAGTGATAAAAGAATCAGGAAACAGCTGGAAAGAAAGAAGGCACAGGGAGAAAAAGAAATCAGCAGTGATAACTAAGGCACACCACTAAACATCAGATTAAAGAAAAAGAATCAGATGACAGGACCCACTGGGAAGCAGGCTATAGATACAGTAATAATAATAAGGCAATGGGACTAGTGCTACATTTATTGGCAGGTTAGGAGGAAATAATGCATCAGCAGTATGGGGGCATCAGGCAATTCGGTTGGGAGAGAATTCTAGCAGTACCCTAGAGGAAAATCAGGCAGCTAAATAGAGGAAGTCAGGCACGGTCTGGTAGAAAGCCAAATGGGAACAGAGGGAAATTGGGTGAGGGTCTAGAGAGAGTTTGGAGGTGGAATTAGAGGGAAGTTGGATCAGGGGGCCAAAGGAAGTGGGCATTGGGTTACAGGGATATCAGACAGGGTTAGAACAAATTTGGGCAGTGAATTGGAGAGATGTCTGGCAGCAGGGCTAGAGGGAATTTGGATGTGGGTTGGCAGGAAACTGGGTGATAGACTGAAAGAACTCAGGCAGTGAGCTAAGGAAGAATAGGGTGGGAGAACCCTATTCAGGCAATGAAGAGTGAAAAAATTGAGTAGCAGTGCTCAAGGGAACTTGGGCTTCAGGTTGGCGGGAAATTGGGTGGTAGTGCAGGACAAGGATCAGGCAGCTGGGTATAAAATAGAACAGGACGGAGAGCTCAAATGGTGGGCTACAGTGAACCTGGGCAGCAGGGGGCAGGGCAAGTGGGCGCATCACTAAAAGGAGTTTGGGAGTTGGGGGTAGAGTTAGTCAGACGTGGCAGGCCCAGGGAAGTGGGATGGTGGGCTGCAGTAAAATCAGCTAACAGTCTGGAGGGTATCAGTCATGTGGCTGACTGGGTGTCAGACCAAAGGGAATTCGGGTAGTGGTTAGAGGAAACTCAGGGCAGAGGGAAATGAGGTAGTGGACCAGGGGAGGTCCTCTAGGCTGGAGGGCTGGGGCAGAGCTCAGGGTGGGTGCTGGACAGAGACCTGACCCCCACCTGCCTGTCCCTCCAGGATGATCCAGGCCGACAGCCACTCCTTCCTGTTGACAGACCTGGCATCAGGCCGCACCTACGATCTGTGCGTGTTAGCGGTGTATGAGGACAGCGCCACGAGGCTAACAGCCACCCAGCCGGTGGGCTGCGCCCGCTTCTCCACCGAACCAGCACTGAGGCCATGCGGGGCCCCACATGCCCCCTTCTTGGGTGGCACCATGATCATCGCACTGGGTGGTGTCATCGTGGCCTCGGTACTGGTCTTCATCTTCGTGCTGCTTATGCGCTACAAGGTGCACGGCGGCCAGCCCCCCGGCAAGGCCAAGGGATCCGCACCCGTCAGCAGCGTCTGCTCCCAGACCAACGGCGCCCCGGGCCCCACGCTGGCCCCAACTGCCCCTGAGCCTGCTGCGCCCAGGGCCCACACCGTAGTCCAGCTGGACTGTGAGCCCTGGAGGCCCAGCCATGAACCCACGGGACCCTAGCTTCATGCTCACCCCGATGGCCCTTCTGGCCCCAGGGGTGGCGGAACACAGGCACCCCATGGGTCCTGGCCTCAGACTCACCAAATTGCTCACGGTTTTTAAAACTCTGATGGGGAGGGTGTTGGGGGCACCAGGGCATAACAAGAAAGTCCTATTTTTCTAAGCTTGGGCCTGGGCCCTTGCCCTTGTCTCTGTCTGTGGGGGTTGGGGGGATGCCTCCTCTGGGGAGACACACCCCAGTTCTGTCTGAGGACCCTGGATGAGTCTGAGGATAGTCATCCATTCAGTCAACAGAATTCCTTGAATGTCCTCGCTGGGCTAATGCTATGTGACCCAGACAGCCCCAAGCCCTGCCCTCAAGACAGTGGTAGCTCCAAGTGATCAGAGATGAGGGAAGCCTAGGAGATTATGGGAACCCAGAAAAGATGCCTGCCTCAGCCTAGGGTGTGGTCAGGGAGGACTTCCTGGAGGAAACATGTGATCTGAGAATGACATCTGAGGGAGATAATGATTGGGCAAAAAGCAAAAACTATTCCATGCAGAGGGGTAGTGCAAGCAAGGACTTAGTAGGTGGCCTGCACTGGGGGTGCTGTGGTAGTGGTGAGGCAGGAGGGGTGTGCAGGGTCCAGGCCTCCTGGTTGAGGAGCTGAGACTCCTGATAGTTATGGGGAGCCATGAAGGAATCTGTGTAAGAGAGGGACAGGGTCTGGTTTCGGATTCAGGAAGACCCTTGTAGCCATTGTGAGGTGGGCGGCATTGAGGGGAAGACTGAAGCTGGAAGCCCAGCAGAAGTCAGGGCAGGGGACTGGATGGATGAGGACATGGCTGGGCCAGGGCAGGGCTTGGGGGAGCAGTAGGAGACGGGTAAGAGACCCTCTGGAAGCTGAGTGGATGTGTTATGGAGCTGAAGGGCCATGGGGAAGGGAAGTGTTCAGGACGAGGCTCAGGACTCTGCCAGGAGAGAGGTGAGTAGAGCTGCCCACCAGGGAGGTGGTTCGGATTCAGGGAAGATGCTGAAGTCAGTGTGGGACTTGGTGGATGCCCAGACAACGTCCAGGGTATGGCAGCCAGAGGGCCTTAAGACCCTGGTCTGAGGCTGGAGCTGGATTCAAAAATGAGAACTGTCTCAGCAGAGATGGGGAATGGAGGCCACCAGGGTTGTGAGACAGCCTCTGGAACTTTCCATACTTAAGAGACAGGCAGAGAAAAACCTGACAAAGACTAACCAGGAGCTACAGGTACAGGGACAGAGTGAAGCATACCAGGCAAGTCCACCCCTGATGACTACTGTTTAATGATATCAAGGCTGCAGCGACTTCAGTGAGAACAGTGTTAGGGGATTGTTGGGCAGGTACCAGATTCAGCTGATCTGAGAGGAGGAGGTAAAGTATAGTTAGGGAGTGTATTCCCTGCAGTTCCATGGACCTAGGGCCTGGTTCAGGTTGATCTAGGCCTTTCGGCCCCACGTCTCTCCAGGGCTGTCCTCACTCTATCTTGGACTACCCTAGGCCCCCCTCAGATAGCAGGCCTGGTGGTTTTGAGGACCTAATCTTGGGCCTTGGAAATGCTGGGCCTTAGTGGAGATCTAGGAATGCAGTCTGCAGTAAAGGGAATGGGGCTCCCTGACCTCAGGCCACCCACCTCTTGTGGTGGGTCCAGAGGCAGAGATGATGGGGAAACTTGGGTTGAGTCTTTTCTGGAGTGATGCTTGGATGAGGGGCATGGTGAAGAGGGCCCAAGACTGGACTGGCCACTCTCATGACCTGGTGCACATGACTTTGTCCTCCTAGGGTAACATCCTATATTCTGCCACAGTTTTCTTGGTGCGTGTAGGCCTTGGAAATGATTCTCCATTGGCTACAGGAACAACCTGAGTCCCAGAGACCTGGCCTGACTCCCAAGTCCTCCAGCAGCATCATGCAGTCCTTCTTGTTTGGTACCCTGAGTAGCTGAGGTCAGAGGAAGCCATCAGGGAGAGTGAGGTATCTTGGCAAAGGGGACCTAAGGTGTGGGAGGACTGGATACCTAGTGCCAACTACAAAATACCAGTTGCTGCCATGAGGGGGAGCCAGAGTGCACCATTCCTCAACCACATTTTTGAATTTGAAGGATTTATTGTGTGCCTACTTTTGCAGCATGCTGAGGATTCAATACTGAACGAATAATGCGGGGCCCCACATGCCCCCTTCTTGGGTGGCACCATGATCATCGCACTGGGTGGTGTCATCGTGGCCTCGGTACTGGTCTTCATCTTCGTGCTGCTTATGCGCTACAAGGTGCACGGCGGCCAGCCCCCCGGCAAGGCCAAGGGATCCGCACCCGTCAGCAGCGTTTGCTCCCAGACCAACGGCGCCCCGGGCCCCACGCTGGCCCCAACTGCCCCTGAGCCTGCTGCGCCCAGGGCCCACACCGTAGTCCAGCTGGACTGTGAGCCCTGGAGGCCCAGCCATGAACCCACGGGACCCTAGCTTCATGCTCACCCCGATGGCCCTTCTGGCCCCAGGGGTGGCGGAACACAGGCACCCCATGGGTCCTGGCCTCAGACTCACCAAATTGCTCACGGTTTTTAAAACTCTGATGGGGAGGGTGTTGGGGGCACCAGGGCATAACAAGAAAGTCCTATTTTTCTAAGCTTGGGCCTGGGCCCTTGCCCTTGTCTCTGTCTGTGGGGGTTGGGGGGATGCCTCCTCTGGGGAGACACACCCCAGTTCTGTCTGAGGACCCTGGATGAGTCTGAGGATAGTCATCCATTCAGTCAACAGAATTCCTTGAATGTCCTCGCTGGGCTAATGCTATGTGACCCAGACAGCCCCAAGCCCTGCCCTCAAGACAGTGGTAGCTCCAAGTGATCAGAGATGAGGGAAGCCTAGGAGATTATGGGAACCCAGAAAAGATGCCTGCCTCAGCCTAGGGTGTGGTCAGGGAGGACTTCCTGGAGGAAACATGTGATCTGAGAATGACATCTGAGGGAGATAATGATTGGGCAAAAAGCAAAAACTATTCCATGCAGAGGGGTAGTGCAAGCAAGGACTTAGTAGGTGGCCTGCACTGGGGGTGCTGTGGTAGTGGTGAGGCAGGAGGGGTGTGCAGGGTCCAGGCCTCCTGGTTGAGGAGCTGAGACTCCTGATAGTTATGGGGAGCCATGAAGGAATCTGTGTAAGAGAGGGACAGGGTCTGGTTTCGGATTCAGGAAGACCCTTGTAGCCATTGTGAGGTGGGCGGCATTGAGGGGAAGACTGAAGCTGGAAGCCCAGCAGAAGTCAGGGCAGGGGACTGGATGGATGAGGACATGGCTGGGCCAGGGCAGGGCTTGGGGGAGCAGTAGGAGACGGGTAAGAGACCCTCTGGAAGCTGAGTGGATGTGTTATGGAGCTGAAGGGCCATGGGGAAGGGAAGTGTTCAGGACGAGGCTCAGGACTCTGCCAGGAGAGAGGTGAGTAGAGCTGCCCACCAGGGAGGTGGTTCGGATTCAGGGAAGATGCTGAAGTCAGTGTGGGACTTGGTGGATGCCCAGACAACGTCCAGGGTATGGCAGCCAGAGGGCCTTAAGACCCTGGTCTGAGGCTGGAGCTGGATTCAAAAATGAGAACTGTCTCAGCAGAGATGGGGAATGGAGGCCACCAGGGTGGTGAGACAGCCTCTGGAACTTTCCATACTTAAGAGACAGGCAGAGAAAAACCTGACAAAGACTAACCAGGAGCTACAGGTACAGGGACAGAGTGAAGCATACCAGGCAAGTCCACCCCTGATGACTACTGTTTAATGATATCAAGGCTGCAGCGACTTCAGTGAGAACAGTGTTAGGGGATTGTTGGGCAGGTACCAGATTCAGCTGATCTGAGAGGAGGAGGTAAAGTATAGTTAGGGAGTGTATTCCCTGCAGTTCCATGGACCTAGGGCCTGGTTCAGGTTGATCTAGGCCTTTCGGCCCCACGTCTCTCCAGGGCTGTCCTCACTCTATCTTGGACTACCCTAGGCCCCCCTCAGATAGCAGGCCTGGTGGTTTTGAGGACCTAATCTTGGGCCTTGGAAATGCTGGGCCTTAGTGGAGATCTAGGAATGCAGTCTGCAGTAAAGGGAATGGGGCTCCCTGACCTCAGGCCACCCACCTCTTGTGGTGGGTCCAGAGGCAGAGATGATGGGGAAACTTGGGTTGAGTCTTTTCTGGAGTGATGCTTGGATGAGGGGCATGGTGAAGAGGGCCCAAGACTGGACTGGCCACTCTCATGACCTGGTGCACATGACTTTGTCCTCCTAGGGTAACATCCTATATTCTGCCACAGTTTTCTTGGTGCGTGTAGGCCTTGGAAATGATTCTCCATTGGCTACAGGAACAACCTGAGTCCCAGAGACCTGGCCTGACTCCCAAGTCCTCCAGCAGCATCATGCAGTCCTTCTTGTTTGGTACCCTGAGTAGCTGAGGTCAGAGGAAGCCATCAGGGAGAGTGAGGTATCTTGGCAAAGGGGACCTAAGGTGTGGGAGGACTGGATACCTAGTGCCAACTACAAAATACCAGTTGCTGCCATGAGGGGGAGCCAGAGTGCACCATTCCTCAACCACATTTTTGAATTTGAAGGATTTATTGTGTGCCTACTTTTGCAGCATGCTGAGGATTCAATACTGAACGAATAAAGACACAGGGCCTACCCTCACATATCTCACCATTTAGTGGGGAAACAAATATTAAATAGACAACAAGTGTAAAGCATCTGGTGACAAGGAGGGCCATGCAGGAGAGACACATGAACCGTGAGACCCTATAACCTGGGACCTCACCCAGTAGAGGTTGAGGGAGGTTTCCTGGAGGAAGTGATGCCTCATCTGAGATCTGAAGGATGCTCAGGTTGGAGTTAAGTAGGTGGAGGTGGAAAGGGCATTCCATGCAATAGAACAGCATGTGCAGGAAGTACAGGGGCTGAGGGGAATGTGGTGAGTAAAGGGGACTGAGGGAGACCAGGGGGCTGAGGTCTGGTGAGGGAAGCCTAGTGATGCCATGTTGAAGCTGGAGGCTGAGAACTGGGCAGATGATGCAGGACCATGTACACTGCTGGGAAGAGTCTAGATCTAAGTGGCATGAAAGCCACTGGAGGTTTTGAGCAGTGAGGAGAGTAGTGCTCCCTGATCTTAAGGAAGTGCTAGTGGCAGATCTGTCTGCACATGAGAGACAAAAGCAGGGAGAGCAGAGAGGAGGCTACTGCAATAGTCCAGGCAAAAGGCTGACCCCAGCCCGATGGGAGCCTGAAGTGGATAGATTGGAGAGAGATTTGCGACTTCCTCACCAGAGGTGTCCATCTTCCATGCCGAGGAGGACAGTGTGGACCCCTGTCCAACTACTCAGTTCTTTGGCAAGATTGCAGAGAATCTGGGAAGAAGAGTTGTAGGACACTGGCGTATGATGTCCAAGGATCCATCCCTTAGACCTCTCTATAGAATAGGAATTAAGGACCTTTTAAGTCCCAGATAGTGGACCAAGACTGCAACACTGGTCAAAGGGAATGTGGACACAGGAAAATGCAGGCCCGGAAGGGGGACACATACCCAGGGGTAGCTTATACACATTTGAAAGCTTGGAGGGTGAGAGGAGGTACATGGGGTACACAGGGCAGGCTTGTCCTTCTAGCATGGTGCCCCTTCTGTCTCCCCCACAGGAAATCGGAACACCCCCTGCCCATGCAGAAACAATACGACTGGACAAATGATCACATGCAGCTAGAATTTAAAGTTAAAATTTATCTTGTCCAACACTGCCCAGCTGAGTCCACCAATTTCCTGAGCTCTGGGAATGCTCCTCCCACTGTCCATCCCTATCTGGCTTTGAGAATGCCTTGCCCGTATTAGAGACCAAATTTCTTGGGACCAAAACTCCAGGCTACTGGAATATTTTCTTGAATAACTAGTCCTGATACCAGGACTCTCGCCTGGTAGATGCTGCCAGATCCAACCCAAAGAAGTCTGGGGGTGGCCACTCTGACACAAGTCCTGAGAGTCTGGGCACAGTTGTGACGCCTTGCAAGGTCTCAGCTAAGGCCAGGCTTTCGCAGCTCTTTACATGGGCACGTATGTGGGAGAGTCAGATAAAGAGGTCCTCCAGAAGGGAATGTTTCTCTTCTGGGTTGAACCTGGGCATGGCTTCTGCCTTTGCTTCCTCTTTCAGCCCTTTCATGCTCGATGAAAGCTAGGGTAGGTATCAGTGCTCAGTGGTGCCCTGATCTGTGTAGAGCAATGGTGAGAACACAGTGGTGACCAACACAGCCCCAGACCCTGCCCGCCCAGAGTCCCAGTTCCGTGAAGGAAATAGATACTCACCAAACAGTAGCATCCAGATTGGGATGTGGGAAGCACAGGCAAGAATAATTAGGGACTGTTTAAGCCCAAGGGACTTTGGCAACCCAGAAGGGGCTCCTGACTGAGCCTAGGATGGGAAATGGGGAGTGCCTAGGGTCTCCTGAAGGCAGGGCTGGCTTCATGGCAGTGTGACCTGTGCTGTTGCACAGCACCCCACGTGTAGAAGAACACTGCGCTTGGTTGAATGCCCTGCTGTCACCGTCATGAAATTCCTCATTTTTGAACAAGGGGCTCCACATTTTCATTTTGCACTGGACCCTGCATGCTTATAGGATATACAAAGAGAGCCAGGAGAAAAGAGGGTCTTTCAGAAGAAAGAATGTCATGTACAAAAGATAAGAAAGAAAGAGGATTGTACTCTTAAGCTGGCTGAAGTTCTGTGTAGCTGGAGCTCAGAGTGGGAGAAGGGGGATAGTGATGGCTAAGGAGCTGCCACTTCCTGTCGAGGCACTGGGGAACCACGGTGGAGGGACAGGGTCAGATGTGGACCTTAGAAAGATCCATCTGGCTATGGTGGGAGGGTGGCTGGAGGCACAGGGCACGGAACAAGGTCAGGGGTCAGGGCTGGGTTGTCCTTGGAGGGGTTTGGGAGTGTCTGGCCACTGTGGGCAGGCTTGTGAAGAGCTTTAAATGCCTGGGTGACAGACACCCCCAGTGTACCAGCAGAGTGGCCGGGGAGACCCCAAAGCCACAAGCTGACCCCGGAGTTTCATTTTCACATGAATATCTTCACTGTTGAGGGTGGGGGGAGGTGCACAGGGTAAGTTAAATGGTGTCACTGGTAAGTACTTGAAAATCTTTTTATATGAGAACTCACATGGGTAGACTGATGGAGTTGAATGCAAAATTGGCAAGAATTTAGAGTATAAAATGTGAGACTTCAAAGGACTTTCTTCTGGGTATATTCTGGCCTCAACTCTGTGGAACCCCTGGGGAGCAGTCCACTCTCTCCAGTCGTCCAGAGAAAACATCGGGTTGGGAACTTCCCTTTCATGCATAGCCTTGCACGCTGTGGCCCCAGGGCTGGGAACTGACCCCTTTCCTACCTCTCCACTCACATCCTTCTAGGGTATCCCCTCCCCACACACCTGGATGCCTCCATTTCTCTTCTCTGCTTACAGCCTCCACAGGTCTGTTCCTGACCCTGGCTCCTCTACTACACTCTGGGCCTGGCTTACCTCAGCTCCCTTTACACCCCCAGGCCTCTCACACCACTGGGTCCCACATGGCCTTGACTTCTTCCCAAAGCTGCCCCCTTCCCGGTTCTGTCTCAGCACAACCCCCA